GTGACATTGCCACCCCCTCCTGCCCAAGCTCCAAACGTTCTTTCTCCTCCCTCTCACATTCCCATTCTTAGTTTCTACAAAGATCTATTCGCAGTTTACTTAATGATCATGTAGTTAGCCCTACACTAAGTAAAAGATTTCAATAAACAGTATGAAGAAAACAGAGAAAGAAAAACAAAACAAAACAAAAAAAACTACCGTTCCTCAGGCAAGTACTCTTAGAAGCAGTTAAGTTTTAGTTAATCAAAAAAGAGTTTTATTATTGATGTTGTACCTGTTAAAAAGAAAAAAATGGATCAGAATATTTGGGTGATATAATATTGGATCTAGGAACGTGCAGACTTTTGAGAAATATTGAGAAGTTTGTCTACAGGAAGCCAGTGACACTTTCACTCTACTTTTTCCTCTTACTCTCATATCTTTCCTTGATGGTCTAAAGAAATTCATCTTGTATGTGTGTTAGGCATTCTCCATTTGCTAGGACTTACTTTGTCCAAAAAATACCCAAACATACAATACTTTGAATTCAGTAAATTTTCTCATTGAGTGAAATAATGAATAACATGGACTATTAGGAAGAACTAAGCTCTGATGTCAGAAGACCAAAGTTACTAGGAATTTGTTGCATGGATCTTATGAGTAGCGAGTTTAATGATAATTATAAGAAGCCTTTGGACATTTAAAGAACTATATTCATAATTTAATAAATGAATGTATAGCATTTTGCTTATAGATTAGTTATGAACCTATCTGATAAGCTGTATTTTTGATAGCTAGTAGTTTCCATTGAATACATTGTACCCCCAAAATAACATTATTAAGCAAGGAAATCCAATTTTTAGGCCCAGGAACATATATCAGTTATGAAAACCATGTTCTGGCAAATCAGAGGATGGGGTATTTGTAACTAGAAAAAATCTCTTTAACTGGCAATTTACATATTTTTTTAGAAAAAATTCAGAATGGGTAGGATTTACTTATCGGAATTAAATTTTAGTCAAATTACAGGGATGTCCTAATAGATATTTTTACTGGTAATAGGAGAATAGGAGGCATAGTTATAATCTAGTTGCTATGCAGATCCATATTGTAGACACATTCTACTTATAAGGAAAGCCCAGCACTGAGTAAATAAATGTTTTATTTTAAACATTGTTAAAGAAAGTGAGCGATTTCATGGAAATGTGATCCAGCATTATTTCACCCTTTTGTTCTTGTTGTACATGCTACATGTTTCTGCAGTTTTCGTCAGCTTAGTATTTTTTACTGGTGTTTTACATTAAAACCCTTATTATGGGATAAGTTTAAAGGAGAAACATGCACTGCATTTTTAAATTTCCTAGTTCCATAATACTCAAAGATTATTCCATAACTCCAGAGACTTCTTAACAAGGCAGCAAAGAGCTTTTTAAACATTAATCTAAATGATAATATGAAATTCAGTGTATGTCCAACGTAGCAGTACTCCGATACATTTGATACTAGGAAAAACATCCTGAAGAGAACTCTTATTTTCTATCTGTTTCTGGGTGCCAATTTTTATAATACCCAAAAGCAGTTACTAAGCATCTGTTGTGAACTGTCTCAGGTTCCAAGTACAGTGTGTTTCTAAAGAAAAAGGCCTTCCACATTTCTCAGTAAGTTTCCTTCTTGAATGTTAGCTATTCATTATGTAATAGAAAGATACTTTCTTGGAAAATTCATGAACGTTTTATCGAATGTCCTAGCAAAAACTGACAACCTATCTTTGAAACATGAACCTCTGAATTCTTGACTGATACATACGACATAGGTCCCTCTAAGCAGGCTAAGTTATGGAGAAGGATATACAATAATATATATAACTTTGCCCAGTAAAATTTTATCTCTTCACATGATAGCTTTTTCTGCCAAATCTGTCTACTACTAATGGAATTTTCTTTCGTGTTATTTTTTATTCACATTTTTACTGATATAAACAGAATAGTTTTCATGTATTTCATAAGCACATCCTTTCATGTTTTTACTAATTAATTTTCTAATGTGTATGAATCCAAGAAGAAATAATTTTCCAATTTTGAAAGCTTTGAAATAGGGACGCTTTCTACTTATCTCTCCTTTATTTGTCCTTTTTCTTCTTTCACATGTGTTAGATTTTCTAAAGCAATTGTAATGACTAAAGTAACTGTGCACTGGAGTGGTCCTGATTTGCGTCTGTTGTTTTATTGTAATGAGCAAGAGCTGACTCTTATCAGCAATGTTTAATTTTGAGTGATCTGTTTGTGTGTTCAACCCATCTATGACTCTATTACACCAGCATTTTGAAATTGACAATCATGTCATAATTTAATGACCTAAATATATTCTCCAAATATGAGCTTTGTTAATTTTGAAACTGGCCAAAGTTTATACAAGCAAATTTAGATAAATATATGTTTCAAATATGCACTTTTTTCAATGATTGACACAAACCAATTTTAATAAAAGCAATTGGAAAGCAATTCAAACAAAGGAAGTAAACCTTGGTTAAAATCTTGAAGACTACCACAAATCTGCAAAAAACAGACAAATCCTTTTTTTTTGGCATATCATAATGAATAGTCATATTGTGCAGTAACAAAAATGATTTATTGGGCAACAGGGCTAAGCCACCACTTGGGTGCTCACATCGCATATTGGAGTGCCTGAGGTTGAGTTCTGCTTCTGGCTAGCATTCCAGCTTCCTGATAACATGGAAGGCAACAGATGGTAGTCCAGGTTCCTGCCACCCACTTAGGAGACCTGGATTGAATTCCAGGCTTCTGGCTTCAGCCTGGCCCTCTCTCAGCTGCTGTGGAGTGAATCAACAGGTGGAAGATTCTCTCTTTCTCTCAATCCCCCTCACCCCAGTTCTTGTGAGCCTTTGGGTAGTGAACTTACAGATGGAAGACTTCTCTCTTTCCTCTTCTCCTTCTCCTCTCATTTTTCATCTTCTTTTCTCTCTCTCTCTGCTTTTCAAGTAAATATGTTTTTTAAAGTGTTACTTTAAAAAAAAGAGAGAGAATGATTTATCTACAATGGCAGACAAATGTAATCAACCTTCTTCAATACCTAATTCAGACAAAATGGAGATTGCTCCTTATCCGTATGGATCATACATTTAAAAGAAAAATTGGATTGTAAAAATACTCAAAACAAATAAATTCTCTAAGAGGTGGCTCATTTTACGCTGTAGATTAAACACCATAAGACATCTGCTTGTTCCCCATAAGGCCAGCACTGTTTACTACCAAGTCCATCTAAGAAACATATTCTGGTGTGGCTCCCAGTCTCAGCTGTCCCTAGATGCTTCAGACGCACTATTCAAGTATCCATTCTGGGTTATCTGTAACATACAATATCATTTGCTTCTTTGTGCTAATTATCTACCATACTATGAAGCCAGGAATTTTTTCTCACTCAGTTTTTACATCCCAAGTATCCCAAGCACCTTGTCAAGTTCTGAATAAATAGGTGACTCAAACAATGAATAAACAAGTCAGGATAGAGTATATTTTCATATAGTAGGATTCTGAGTTGGCAATAAAGTAAGTTAGTCATCCTGGGTAAAGACAAAGGCAATGGAATTAAAGTGACTTTTGGTGCTGGTTCTCAGCCCATAAAATGTGTCAGAGTAAATGTGAAGCACTAGAAATGTGATGAAATTGATATAATACAGTCATGAAGAAAAAACTTTCTAAAGAGAACTTTAACGTGGAAAACCATAAAGTCTTCTGAAAACTAACATGAAAACCCTGAAACACACAATTTTCTTCTAACCTGGAATAATTCTCCAGTCATATGGCTAAAAATAAGTTTTAATATCAAGATTATTATTTTATCATTTGAAACACATAGTATGACTTCTTCTTTGTAAAAAGCAAAGTCATAATCAACAACAAAAGTCCTTTATTTATTATTTTCCATTTTCTTGAAAGACAGAGAGACAGATACCCATGACAGCTAGGGCTAGGCCAAGTGTAAACCAAGAACATAGAACTCAATCGAGATCTACTTGTGGGGTACAGAGACCCAAGTACTTGAACTGACCCAAGTATTTGAACTTATCAGCTGCTGCTTCCCAAGGGTGCACATTGGCATGAAGCTGGAATTGACAAGAAAGCTGGAACTTGAACCCAGGCACCCTGAAATGGGAAGTTGGAATCTCAAGCAATAACTCAATGGCTGATTAAACACCTGTTTCAGAAACAATTTTTTAAAAAAACTTTCTCTCTATATTTATCTTTTCCTTAGCATGCATTTTTCTACACAGTGCACTTCTAACTTCTTCTATTGGAGAGAGAGATTTTCATTTTTCCCATTTATTTACTTAAGAATTAGAAAATGAGAGGTATGGTTAATTTAAAATTTTTTAAAAACTATAATTCTTGAATAGTTATGTATTTTAATTAAACTGTAATAAATAAATAAATATTGTCACAAGTAGTATGTTTAAGACAAAGAAAACAAAAATTTACCTGATATAGCTAAAATATCACTAAAATTTATAGACAGTTAAAACTCCTTCTTAGAAACAGAGCACATATAACATAAATTACTTCACAAAATAAGTAGTCAGGATATATAGTTGAGTAAAATTTTCATTTTAAAAGGTGAAATAACAGCCTACTTTATGAAATCTGGAAAGTTTTGATGATCCTATATTGTTCCCAGGATTTCCTTTATAGAAATCACATTTTTCAAAGAATGATTTTATTAAATATTAGACTTCTCAATGTACAACATAAGATAATTTTCCCATAACCTTGAAACTTAAAACTTTTGTATTTTGATTTTATTAATGCCAATCTGCTTCCTGTACAATCTATCATAGTATGAATCACTCCCTTGTTGAAAACTCTCCTCAGAATTTCCTGGGAGAGGAACTGAATAGAAAATTAATTTCCTATTTGAGAGAATTCTTAGAATTTAAATAAACCTATTGGTTGATCTGAAACCACAAAATTAGCATTTTACTGATCACTGGGTTTAAATACTTGTGAAGCAAAGAGATCGACCATCGCCTAGATCATCAACCCAACTTGCCTCTTTTCAGTCGAGTTTAAGGTATTGGTGATCAAATCATACGATTTCACACTGTCTAATGTCTTTCTTCTGCTTTTTATTAAGATGTATTTGTAACTTTTCTATGTTTGAAAATGTTGATACCTTTTTAAGATATACTGGTAGCTTTAAAATGCATTTTCAAAATTTTAATACTATCTCAGAGCTTTAGGTAAGAAATGTATATGGCATTATAAAGACCAAATCATTTTTGCTTAATGTGTAACTATATCTCATACACTTATCACTTATCTTTCAATAGAAACTTAGAATAAGGTAATTTGAATTCTTTTAGCCCAATTCTATGAAATTATTTGTGAAAAATAATTTACTATCTTTGCAATTGCTATAGCAAGGCTTGTTTTGGTAGAATATTTCAAGACTCAGTTTTATTCCATATTTGTGGCTATTAAAATTAATTTTATACCATGTAAATTAAAAAACAACAGTTATCTATAGATAAATACTTTTATAAAGGTGATTAAATTTATATATTTGAAAGGACAAAAATGTGGATAAACAGTAAGTTAATTTTGGATTTAGAACAGGCTTTCTTTACTTTTGCTCTTAGGATCTACATAAACTGAAGCAATACACTATTAGTTTGCTGACAAATTAAAAATGTAGCCTAATGTTTTTTTGATTTCCCTGAAAATCATTTTCATGGTACATGTAAATGTCAGTATTTCTGAGTTCTTCCAATTTGATGGAACTGCAGTCATCAAATATGATATGATATATGAATATTATGCCTCTTTACATTTCATCCATCTTCATATATTCATGCTGTAAATATTTCAATGCTGCAAAAACATGATGTCTGGATTCCTTTAAAAAATAACTGATGGAGGTTAATAGCTCCCACATAATGCAATTACAACATTTTTCATGAAGCCTTGTCAAATACAGTAGTTCTCAAATAGATTTAAAAGAACACATTTTCAAAAATACTCGTGAAAAATTTAAAGGTCAATTCTCAGTGGATTTGGTTTCTTACTCTTTTTGACAAATTTGATAGTGTAACTGAAAAAAAAAATTGTAGTTAAATATTAGTATTTCTCTTTTCTGCTAGCAAAGCCAGTCACCACAACAGAGATAAATGTCTTATGTTAGACTATTAGTGAATAAAACTGAAGTAAGAACTTGGTATTTCTAAATAATGTAAGAAATAAGAAAGATAACTAAAGTGGTAATCATATTAAGTAGCAAAATTAAAACTCTTAAGTTTGCAAAAATATTGCTACTCAAATGAACCTGTTATCAAAATTTGTTCCTTGTTGAAAAGTAAGGGTTTTTTAAATTATTATTTCTTCACTTTTTTGATATGACTATCTACCTATATGCAGACAAACACACACACATATAAAGATATGAGAGAGAGGGAGAATTTTCCACCTATTGATTCATTCTCCAAATGTCTACAATAGCCCAGTTGGGTCAAATTAAAGCCAGGAGCTGATAACTCAGTCCAGGTCTCCCAAGTGGGTAGCAAAACCCAAGTTATTGAGCCACCTCTTGTTGCCTTCACAGGTAGGAAGCTGGATCAGAAGCAGAGTAGCTGGGTCTTAAACCAGGCACTCCAATATGGGATAAAGGTGTCCCAAGTTGTGACTTATTATCGCTCTACAACACAGGAGCCCCAGAATGTTCTTTCATTAAAAAAAGGTGGGGGGGGGGGGTTATTGTAATGAAAACTAAAGGATGTTTTGTCCTCTTACTTAGGCTTGGACCACCATGAAGCTTCTCATCCTCACTTGCCTTGTGGCTACTGCTCTTGCCAGGCATGTAAGTACCATAGGGAATCTAGAAGATTCCAGACTCTTCTAAGTGACATCTGATACCTCATCAGACACAGTGTACTGGGAATACAATCTGAAAACTTTCATGTCATAATGCTTCCCGTTTTCAGCACTATTTGGCCCATTGAAACCCTTAGCTTCAAGGAAAATGTTTGACCTGAAATACAAGAATTACTCACACATACACACACACACACACACACATAAATTTAAAAGTAAGCAAAAAAACAAGAAATGAGATATTGCACAATTAATAGCATCTTGGGTCCACTAGAAATTGTGCATATTTCTAGGCACTTAATAGGAATCAATATTTATTTACCAAGTGTAACCACAAAATCACATGCTCTAGAAAGTATACTAGAAAGTCAAATCCTCATTTGAGATGGCTTGTGTCCGTCGACTTATTTTCTCCCAAGAGGTAGGAAACTCTTAATCCAAAGAAAACTGTTTATTTATGTCACTACTTCATTAATTTTAATTGCAATATCCACAAAGTTCAGGCTGAGACACAGTTTATGTAATCTAATTGATGATAAAAATAAAACCCAAAAATATTTAATTGGGAGCATTCATATATCGCTCCCAAATTTTTGTAATGGTTTATCCTTTACTCTGTTCCTTTTTTTCATTTATTTCTCTTTGTTAGGATTTCTAAAATGCCATATTTTTCTTTTATTTTACTTTGCCATTTTATTTATTGTTTGTATGGAAGTTATGTATTGAAATTTAGCCATGATCTGTTTTATTTTATTTTATTTTTTAAAAGATTTATTTGCTTATTTGAAAGGTAGAGTTACAGAGAGAGAGAAAGAGAGATAAAGGGATCTTCCATCCACTGGTTCACACACCAAAAGGTCAAGGCTGGGCCAGGCTGAAACCAGGAGCTTCATCCAGGTCTCCCACATGAGTAGCAGGGTCCCAAGCATCCAGGCCTCCTTCCAGTGCCTTCCCAGGTGCAATAGCAGGGAGCAGCCAGGATCTGAAACAGCACTCATGCGGAATGCTGTCATTGTATGTGACAACTTAACCCACTATGCCACAATGCTGGCTCTTTATTCTGTTTTTTTATTTGTTTGTTTGTTTATTTTTTAATTATATTTAGAACTGTCATATATAGTTCAAAGTGTTAGACTTCTCCTTTATTAATCACGGAGACTTAAAAAATCATCTGGATTAACTCAAGCCAACTGAAAGTTTTTTTCTTTTCAGAAACATTTTATATATAATGTTTTCAATTATCTGGCACATTCTGAAGAAAGGAAATTAACCTATTTTGGTTTGATATTTGTCGGTAAAATATTGCCCTTCATTTTTACCACTTGATTCTCCCAAGAAACTTGGCCTTTGACAAATTTTGCTGCTAAAATACATGCCTTTCTTAAATAGCAATGGGAAAGTTCATATTATACATGTTTTATAACATTGTTATTTTAATTGCTTTTGTTTTTTGTTTTTTTGTTTTACAATTCTTGCATTGCTTTTCACAGAAATTTCATTTAGGACACCTGAAACTCACTCAGGTAACTATTTTGTTCTTTGTTTCAAGAATTTACTCTAAGTGTGGTTCTTAAGTGTTGATGTATTGATAGCAGCTAAATCTAAACCGGCTCTTGCCTTGTTTATGAAGCAGCCTTTGATGCTTTTTCTGTGATATCATTTCTTCAGTTCAAGTAACTGTGGATATCATCTGCTCTCAAAAAACTTTTTAAAAAAGAAGAGGGCCCAAGGATTTGTATGAACTTAATGTTTTAAAAATCTTGTTATTATTCATGAGAAATGATTAAACAGAATAATGTTATTACAGTTTTTTTTAAAGTGTTCTTGCTTCTTCCTATGTCTTTTACATGAGCTCAAGCATTTGCTTCATAATATGGCCTCATTTTATAGACTTACTTTTAAATCAATTACTGCTACTACATCCATTTCAAAGAGTCAACCCTTCACTCTGTCCAGAAACTGAACTAATGGTTTTTTTGTTTTTTTTTTTAATTATGATTCTTTGCAGGAGCAGCCTGAGAGCAGTGAGGTAAGCTCCTTCCGGAGAGTCGGTCTTTCCTCTTTCTTGTACCTGTTTTCCCTTTCAGTTAGTTATAAATGTTGAGTGCTTTCTGTATTCCACTTTTGGTTACCTTCAAAAGTAATCAGCAAGTACCTAGATCATTCTCTCGATGATATTTTGATGAAATTGAGATTCAGTTTCTTCTTTAGGCATTTTAGTAAATATAGACTCACTTGATCTCTTGACCCAGCAGAGAAGCAACCATTAAAGGTATTTCCAGGAGATTTTAATATTCAATAATAAAAAGAAAACGGCTTGGTTTTTTTTCTTCCATCAATATAAAAAAAAAAAAAAAAACCTGTGGCTTGTCAAATTAAGTGGAATACCTGTGTTCAAGTGGAAAGAAAGTTGCCATTTTCGGCCTGTTTTTCAGTTTTTATAATTCACAATTTTATTTCAGCAGGAAATCTTAAAAGAAAGAAAGCTCCTCAGGTTTGTCCAGGTGAGTGTTACTTATTTATTCCTAAAGGATGCATGTATTTTTCTTGGAAAACTAATTTAATTTCTGTCTATAAAAATGCTTCATTGCATGACTTAATGTACACTTCCCATCATTAAAGACATACTTTAAATTTAATTTGTATTTAAATGGCAACTTCTTTCCAAAACACTGTGCTTTCTTTTCATGAACTATGCGTAATTTTGCAGTTCAGTGTTCACTATGATGGAGTGTTTCTTAAATCTAAATAATTGCCCACCTGTGTTATATTGTCCAATAATTTTGTAACCTGAATATTGAAATAATTATCAAGAGCTAATTAAAGGCCACTATTTAAAAGATTTGATAACCCAACTCTGAATAGATTTTAAGACACTTTTTTCTTTCCTTTTTTTGTAGACAGTACCACTAGAATTAAGAGAGGTAAGAATGACTGAACAGCACCATGCTTAAAACGGTGAATGACAAAGATTGACAAAGTTGAGTGTGATAAATTTAAAAATATTTTAAATTACACCTTTACATACCAGGATCTTATATAACGAAGGCATAACAAAAAAAGACTTAAAGTTAGAAATGATATAATCGGAAAGTCAGTATATTCATCAGAAATAGATTTATTTTTTAATTTACAACAGCATAATGATCATTTTCTTATGTCATTTTCACTCAAAAATGTTTATCTCTTCTTTTCCATCTTCAGGAATATGTCAATGAACTGAACAGGGTAAGAATCATCAAATAAATCTAAAATATTTTAAATTTTTCAATTTAAAATATATTTTATAAGCTCTGCTTTATTGATTTAGCAGAGAGAACTTCTGAGAGAAAAAGAGAATGAGGAAATCAAGGTACCAAAGTTTTTCTTTTCTTTGTTTCCCTTTCTAAAAAATTAGTTATTGATTTGAGATGCAGGGAGTAATGGGGGTGGTGGGAGAACTACCAGGAGCAGGTTCACTCCTCAAGTACCTGCAATGACCAGTGTTGGGCTGGAGAGAAAGCCAGGAGCCAGGAACACAACCCAGGTCTCTTACATGGGTGTCAGGGCCCCAGCTACTTAGTCCATCACCTGCTGCCTCCCGAAGTCTACATTTGCAGAAACAGGAGTTGGGAATCCAATTCAGGAACTCCAACGTGGGATGTGAATACCTTGGCCACTAGGCTAAATGCCTGCTCACCAAAGTCTTCTTAGCAAATTTTGACCAAAAAAGTCCTTCTAACAAGAAAAAAAATTTTATTTAGAAACTTTTTTCTATAGCATTTACTTGTTCCTTGAACTTTTCACACATTACTCATGTATTCAAAATGACTAATGAATTTTACTCTGAATTCTGCTACTGATCTTTTTGACTTAATTGAGTAGCTATGATGGGACAAGGCATTAATTAGTATAGATGAATAAATGAACAAATAAATAAATGCAATTATGAACTGGCTTTTTGTTTGCATTTAACCAAGATTGAAAGAACGCTTTATCAAGGGTGTTACCTAAAGTAATATATCTTAGTCAAAAATGTTTTACATAGTCACTCTTGATTATTCTTTTTAAAATAATGAATAAAAACAGAAGTATACAAAGAGAGAAAGAGAGCACACTCCCATTACTGGCTCATTCCTCAAATTCCCACAATGGCTAGGGCTGTGCCAAGTTGGAAGCAGGAGCAGAACCAGAACTTGAAACCATCCACCTCAACTCATGTGAGCCTGATAAACAGCATCATAATCACTAAGAAGTCTTGATCTGAACTATGTAGTAATTTTTAAGTAGATTTAGTGCTACACAGGTACTCAAAATTTCTAAGATGAAATATGTATTTTCATATCTGTCTTTCAAACCTGACTGATTGCCTTTTCTTGGCAGGGAACTAGAAATGAAGTAACTGAGGTAAGACCCCTCATTTTAAAATTATTGAGTCAGGTATTAGGAAAAGGAACAAATAAAAATATTTCCTTTAATCACCCTACTCCAAATAATTCTTTTAAGTTAAAAGTAAAGCAAGCCGGCGCCGCGGCTCACTAGGCTAATCCTCCGCCTAGCGGCGCCGGCACACCAGGTTCTAGTCCCGGTTGGGGCGCCGGATTCTGTCCCGGTTGCCCCTCTTCCAGGCCAGCCCTCTGCTGCGGCCAGGGAGTGCAGTGGAGGATGGCCCAAGTGCTTGGGCCCTGCACCCCATGGGAGACCAGGATAAGTACCTGGCTCCTGGCTCCTGCCATCGGATCAGCGCGGTGCGCCGGCCGCGGCGGCCATTGGAGGGTGAACCAACGGCAAAGGAAGACCTTTCTCTCTGTCTCTCTCTCTCTCTCTCTCACTGTCCACTCTGCCTGTCAAAAAAAATAAATAAATAAAAATAAATAAAAAAAAGTAAAGCATATACCTCTAAATCAAAAGAACAAAAGATGTTCAATATCATGTGTTGGCCAGAATTACCTGTATAATGAAACCAACTCTAATATTCTGAACTCGAACTCTGAGAATAATGTCAGCACTCTTCATATTGCCGTAGTCATGAAAACTGAGCACAACATACTAGATGGAAAAAAACTGCTTAAGTATGTATACACCACAAAGAATGCTCTCCTTTGGCATACTCCTATTTATCTCATGATCTTTAACTATATGCTTCTGTTTAATGTCCAGAGCTGGTTTTTTTTAAATTAGTATATTTATTTGAAAGGCAGAATTATGCAGAGAGAGGGAGATGCACACACACACACACACACACAGAGAGAGAGAGAGAGAGAGAGAGAGAATCTTCCTTCTAGTTCACTCCCCAAATGGCCACAAAGCCCAGATCTGGGCCTATCCAAAGCTAGGTGCCAGGAGCTTCTTCCAGGTCTCCCACATAGGTGCAGGGGCCCAAACACTTGGGCCATCCTCTGCTGCTTTCTCAGGCCACCAGCAGACAGCTGGATTGGAAGTGGAGCAGTTGGGTCTCCGATATGGGATGGCGGCACTGCAGCTGGAGGTTTAACCTACTATGCCACAGCACTGGCCCCAGAGCTAAGATTTTTAAGCAAGAATTTATGCTGTTTAAAGAAATATGCAAATTTTTATGATGATTTACCACAATACAAGAGTCCAACATGTTTTCTATTAAACTTTAAATGTAGTTTAAGAAGGGAAATCTTTCAGTTAGCTCAGGACAAAGGCAGACTTTTTGCTTTCTTTATTATTTGAGGATTGCTTCACTTTTCTGTTTTCTTTGGCATTTATTCTATTTAGTGATAATTTGCATTTGACATTTATTATAAATAATTAATGTAATTCTTCCCCCCTTCCCATCCCACAAGGAACATGTTTTGGCAGACCGTGAGGTAAGATACTTCATTCTAATGAAGTTAATTATCAATGGGCCACGTTACTCTGAACACACAGCCAGAGAGAATAGTCAGTTAAGTATTAGAATTTATCTTTTAAATTATGGACCTTGGAATAAAACTTATATTTGCATGTAAATGTAACTGTACATGATTTTGAAGAAAAGCAAATAGTTCAAAGAGAAGTTATTTTAAAGCATCGCATAACATTATTTCCATCTTGAGATTGCTTACTGTATTTAATGTTATTGGTTGATCCATATGCAAGTAGCTTTGAGGGCAGATGAGAATAAATACTCAACCCAGGGTTCTGAGTGGCCTAGCTCAGTATGACTCTTCCTTTGAAGATTTCTTTTTACCACAAAAATCTACATGAATTTCCCTTCTACTCAATAATAGGGCTGCATTTGTTTTAATAACTAGGCTCCTTGGAAGTTATTAAATTTTGCCTCATGCTAGCATTTTTCAAGTAAAATTGACTCTCCAAGAATATCTGAATCTTTTCTCACCTCTTGTTGCCCAGAATAAGCAACCCACCAGGATGACATGGATCTAGTTTTCTTCAATATTCCAAAAATCCTGATATGTCAATAATCCTAATTTTCTTTCTTTTAACAGACAGAAGCTAGCATCAGCTCATCAAGTGAGGTAAATCATGTTCATGTTAATTCAGTGACCCAATTAAATTTTATGGAAATTCTTACTATAAGGGCTATATATCCTGTAAAGCCACCTTGCATCCAGCCCTATGTATGTGGCATTATTCTAATTTTAGTGTGTGTTTGTCAATCCAAAGGAAGAAAGATTATAGAATTATATCTAGGCAAACAATCTTATCTAGTCATTTGTAGTGCCTCAAATATTTTTTGAACTTATTCTGTCTGTCTCAGATTTTGGTAAAATTCAATTTTTTTTCTTTTTTTTAACTTTTATTTAATGAATATAAATTTCCAAAGTACAGCTTATGGATTACAATGGCTCCCCCCCATAACGTCCCTCCCACCCGCAACCCTCCCCTTTCCCACTCCCTCTCCCCTTCCATTCATATCAAGATTCATTTTCAATTCTCTTTATATACAGAAGATCAGTTTAGCATATATTAAGTAAAGATTTCAACAGTTTGCTCCCACACAGAAACATAAAGTGAAAAATACTGTTTGAGTACTAGTTATAGTATTAAATCTCAATGTACAGCACACTAAGGACAAAGATCCTACACGAGGAGTAAGTGCACAGCGACTCCTGTTGTTGATTTAACAAATTGACACTCTTGTTTATGGCATCAGTAATCACCCTAGGCTCTTGTCATGAGCTGCCAAGGCAAAATTGCCAAAAATGATTTATATCTAAAGGAATGATCCAATCAAAGCAAAAGTTGATCAATTCTAAGTTAATCAGAGACTGGAATCCCCTAAATTCTGTTCATCTTTTGCTCTCCTTCATAGACTAAAAAGAGATCAGACAGAGAGGGTGATGTGGTTACCCCTTTGAATTTGGGAGATCTCCATCCAATTTAATTATATGGAGATTATGAGCTATGTGCTTGTGAAAACAGTGAGAAGAGGGAAGGAAGCACCAAGTTATTAATTGTGTTTTAGTTACACAACAAATTATGGCTAAAATAAATTTGTCATTATTTAGTAATAATATCTGGTTGATTACTATTCTTACTTAAATGTGAAATTAATGTCATAATATTAAAACTAGATGTTTGTGTGCTTTTTTTAAGGAAATTGTTCCCAGCAGCACCAAGGTGAGGCATATTTGCTAATTTTAAAATTTATTAATATTGTCCAGAATAAGTTAAGATTTACTTAAATGATTTTTGTGTGCATTTTTTTAGCAGAAGTACGTGCCAAGGGAAGACCTGGCTTACCAACCTTACGTGGTAATGTTTCATTAATGCTTGACAAAGGCAAATGTACCAATTAGTCAAAATGTTGTACTGATCAATAACTCCTCTTTCTCAGCATCTGGTACATTTTAACCCCTTGTACTTAATCTTTACAAGCCTAGGGGTTTACTCACTCCCCTCTAAAAACAAACACACTTTATCGCAGCATGTAATCTATACCTTTTCTTCTTTTGAAACAAATATTTATAAGTCATGGTTTCACATACATTATTTGTATTTTGTAGTTATGCTATGAATCTAAGCAGCATATTTTGTAAGTGGCAAGCTACCAATTTGATCAGACTTGAGTTTGACCTAAAGCTCTACTTTTTACCAGAATGTAATGTTAGATGGTTTACTTAACCACTGTAAATCTATAACATAATTTTTTTAAAAATTTTTTTTCTTTGAGAGCCCCCAAATTGCTGCAATGGGCAGGGTAGGCCAGGCTGAAGTCTGGATCTGGAACTCCATCTGGTCTCCACTGTGGGTACAGAGACCCAAGCACTGTAGCCATTTTCTGCTGTTTTCTGTGATGCTTTAGCAGGGAGCTGGAACAGAAGTGGAGCATCCAGGAAGTGAATCAGTGTCCATACAAGATGTTAGCATTGCAGATAGAAGCTGAACCTAATGTACTTCAGTTCCAGCCCCCTATAGCATAAAATTTAATGTGGCAGTGACAGTAATAAATATTAAAGATATAAATCAATTTAATATGCTCAATTGCACACAATAAAATCTAAATGTATGTCAGTAGTATTAAAAACTTCATTTTTCCTAGTTCATCTAAGATTCAGATTTAATTTTATTAAAACAATTTTTAATAATTCTGACCTTAGACATACTGTAAGTATACTGAATTAATGTTTATATTTGCAGCTGTTTCTATTGTAATGTATTTTAAGCTAAAATTAAGTTTAAAATAGTTTTTCTAATGTTTTAAAAGGGAACAAGTGAATTAGTCCCAATTATTGGTAAATAGAATTAGCATTTTAGTAAAATGAATAATATCATAGTCTTTATCCCTGGGAAGGTGCTTTGTAGGATTCTTGATCCATTTCCTGTAATGATGAAGCTTTACTTAATGATATCCTATAATAAGTTAAATTTTAAATTAGATCCATTTCTAAATATGTTCTAACTTTTCTCTCGTTCTTGCCCTGTTAGTGATAACTGAATTGTCGCTCTGATTTTCTACATATTTACAGGCAAAGCTCATTCTTTCTGCTTATGTCTGGAGTGAAGTTGTGTTATCACATTCATTATTAACCAGGGAGAAATTGACTTGGACAGTATTTGACACAAAATCCTCTTCTAGCCTCCCTGATGATGCATTTTATTCAGGAATTTATCATTGTGTTTATTACTTCAAATTGGAAAATAAAAGTGTTTTGCTCTTTTTGTAATTCTGGCATGGACTATAGCTTATTCTAAATTTCAGAGATGAGTACATTCTCTTGGTACATTATGATATGAGTGTGTTTTTCCAGAAGATGTTTAAGCAACTAGAATATTTTTCTTTTAAGCAGCAGCAGCTTCTCAGAATGAAAGAACGCTACCAAATCCAGGAGGTAATATTTTGCTTAACATTTGCAAGATAATATTGCTTAAGTTTAAATATGTTTACTTTTCTATAGCCATCTACTTTTGAAAAGATTTACTTCTTTTCAAGCTTTTCTCACTCCTAACTTCCTGAGCTAATTTACATTAATTGATATCAGCAATGAGAACTGCTTGTCATTATTCTGTGGAATGAGAGGTGTTCTATGTCTGACTCAGGCTTATGTATCACATTTAGTATCACAAGCATGCAAGTATTAACCTCCCTAATTGCCTTAATTTCTTTCTTAGCATGTTTATAGCCTTATGTTCATAAATTTGACTCTCAGATTCAGTTTATATTTAGGAATCTGAAAACTAGCTATAATTATGCTCTGCTAAGCAAGGTGTATTTGAGATTTATGAGTAAACACACTTTTCTTTTGAAGAACCATCTGGAGAGAATGAGTGTTTCTATCAAGATACTCTAATCTTGTCTTTATGTAAAATGAGTTTATTAGTAATACATAGCAGATAATAATCCCCCCCCAACACACACACTTACAGTTGATTCCACAGTGTTCCTGGGTCTTCTGACTTTTTTTTTTTTTTGAAGTATTATCCACTGCCATGTTTTGCCATAGTAATTCTGATTCCTGAGAGTAGCTAGACTAATTCCAGCCCTCCAACCACTATTCATCATTTAGTGAATTTTACACAGAAGATGAAGATGCTCCATATATCTCAGAAAATAATATTTCTGCATTACCAAAATGTAAATGCCAGAATTGGTGTCAGTTTCCGAATCCCTAACACATAAAAGTATTTGGACTAGGTTGTGTAGAGCAGTCATAAAGGTAATTCCAACTCTTTTTCTTTCCAGAGAGAGCCTATGAGAGTGGTGAATCAGGTAAATCAGTGTGCGTGTGTGCTTGCTCATTTGTGTGTGTGTCTCAACACTGCCCCCAATACTGTCTCTGAGCAGGCACTGTTTTTATTTTGTTTTTGAGAAACTGTTGTCCTAGTGCCTTACAAACTAATGCGATTCTGGTATTAATTAGCTGTTGATTGGTATTACACTCTGCGGTGCTAGTTCTAGCATTGCTGTAGAAGATCAAGTCTAAGTCGACAAAGAAAAATACAAAATTATCCTATGGTTATCCATAAGGGACAATCAAGATAGCTTCAGGACACTGTTAAGTAGTAAAAGTCCTGACTAACCATTCATGTTCCCTAACTCTGACCCTTTTATATTCTATGACCATATTCCTGTGTGGTGGAAACAACTTGTTTTCTAAGTCAAGGAATGACCTTTTTTTAAGATTTATTTATTTGAAAGACAAGATGACAAGAGAGAAAGGGTTAGATACAGAGAGGGATCTTCCATCCACTGGTTTACTTCCCAAATACCTACAACAACCAGAGTTAAGGCAGACCAAAACCTGCAGCCAGGAACTCCATCCAGGTCTCCCAGGTGGGTGACAGGAAACCACGTCCTTGGACCGTGATTCACTGGTAGCCAGGGTTCAAGCCAGGCACTCTGATACCAGATGCAGGCATTTCAAGCAACAGCTAACCCTGAACACCCACCCTAAAAAGGACACCTCCAATAATGTGACCTGGACTGCATATTCTCTTTGACTTCTGATTTCCCATTTGTGGAAAATTTGATGTGTCTTTACATTTATTCCCTTCCTCAAAACTCCCATATCTCAGTGTTTATAGTTCTTTTGTATGGTGTTATTTAATGAGAGGCTTCAGTGGCAATAATTTAGTCTACTATAGTGTTCAAATGGATATAAATCACAAAACTGCTTTTTAAAATTCTGTCTCTCTCTCTCTCTCTCTCTCTCTCTCAAGGAACTGGCTCAGCTCTATCTTCAGGTAAACTGCCTTTATTTTATTTATTTTTAATATAGTACTTTAATAAGTAATAGGAAAATCTCAGAAATCAAATCTGTTTTAATTTTTACGTGGGTATCCACAGTAAAACACTTTCCATTTGTTTCTTAATTCCAGTGAAGAACATTTATCTTCCATCTAAACAATTAGAGAATTATGTGCAATTGTTTCTATGTTTTAATATAGAATCATAGAAATGACTAAGTGAAATGTCATGATAGAGCAGTTATAAAATTTCAGAAAGAAAAATGTTTTGATTCCAAAACTCTAGTGTTTGCAAGGGCTAGGTAGGAGTTGTAGAATTATTTTCTTTCTCTTCCTGGCATCTCTCAAATTCACATGTATTGATTTGGCATATGGAACCCTTCCTTTGACTTTGATGTCTTCAAGAAAAATTATAGATATAAATAGCAAAAATAATTTTTATAGTCTAATACCCACAAGTTTATAAATTAAGTAGTAATGGAACTCATGCCAGTACTTTCTGCTGGGCTCTGGCAACTGAATCAATGTGAGTAATGCAAGTACTGAACTCAGTACTTAGTAGTGACCTTTAAAAGTGACCTATGTGTTCTCCTTCGGGCACTTCAAAAAGTTTCCCTCTGAATGTTTTTTCACTGTGTTTCACCAAAGAAAGGGTTTGATGTCTTTCTGTTCTTGCATGGACTGATCCTTTTTGTGATGCTAACATGCATTTCAGAACTGAGTGAAGTGATAAGATTTTTCAGAGGTTCACAGCAAGACTTTGCTCATGCAGTGTTGCTTTTCAATCATCTTTTCCTCTAGCCTTTCGAACAACCCTACCAGCTTGATGCCTATCTCCCTGCTCCTTGGTACTATACTCCGGAAGTGATGCAGTATGTTCTTTCCCCACTGTTCTATGACCTCGTTACACCCAGTGCCTTTGAGAGTGCTGAAAAAACTGTTATTCCAGAGTGGTTGGTAAGTACATTTAAATTACTAAACATTTGTGTTCTACCAAAGGAAATAAGAGACAGTTGCTTAGACCACATCTGATGAGAACAAATTTAGAATAATTGAAAAATCAATGCCTATAGTAGAGTAGAGGAATTTTCTGAAATGCAAAATTGTTAATATTTTCTGGCATCTGTGGCTAACAGTAACACATTCCTTAGTAATAGGTGGAGCCATGTTATCTATTTTATAAGAGAAGTTTATTCTAACAAGGATAGGACAATTTTCTCCAAATTAAAAGTAGAATTCTAATATGTAAATCAACTTATTCTCCTGTACTTTTACTAATCTTTAAATACCTTCCTTTTTTACATGTATGAGAAATATAAAAATGTTTGCATAGGAAACAAAGCATAAATATAGTTATCTCATAATCTTCAATTCAACTTTTGACCTTTTTGCTTAGGTGAAATGATATAGTATTATTTATTTATTATAACCAAAAGTTATATGGAGTCAAGTGTGATAAAATATACCCATCTGGGAGTATATAGACACTGAATAAGTAGAAGTCATTTTATTGATTTAGTAAACTATTATAGCATTATCTTCACTGCATAATTTCTACAATTTTTGTTCTTTCAGAAGAATTAAGTCAATTCTCAGGAACTCCACAATTATGACCATTGGTAAGTTTGGAAATTCTTTGTCCAACCATTGATTCTGATTCCATTTGCAAATTATTTTCATAATCATGATACATTTAAATAACAACTTTAAATGAACTAATTTTAGCTAAAAGAATTTATAATATTATAAACCCCAATATAAGTATGTGGTAGATGTTATTAATTTCTCATGAAGATGTGTCTTTGGAACACTAGTAAACCTAATAGTGGGATCCTATTCTTTATGATCAATCCAATGGAAGTCTTTAGAAGTAATATAGTTACACTAGTAGAAAAAGGGCTGCAAATGTGATTTAATTGCATCTTCCACTACATTGGAATTTTGAATTGTGTGAACGTGTTTTTCCTTTCCAGTTGTGGAAACTTCCCTTCCAATAGTTCAAACCAAGAAAAACTACAAATAAAACTCCGATCTATGTGGAGGTCATTTCTGATAATTGCCTTTTCACATAATCTTTGATAGACAAAAGGAAAACTTCTTGATAATAAATTTCCTTAAATTTTTTTTTTCTGGACAAGCAGAGTTAGACAGTGAGAGAGAGACAGAGAGAAAGGTCTTCCTTCCATTGGTTCACCCCCCAAATGGCCACTACGGCCAGCGCACCACGCTGATCCGAAGCCCAGAGCCAAGTGCTTCTCCTGGTCTCCCATGCGGGTGCAGGGCCCAAGGTCTTGGGCCATCCTCCACTGCCTTCTTGGGCCACAGTAGAGAGCTGAACTGGAAGAGGAACAACCGGGACAGAACTGGCGCCCCAATCAGGACTAGAACCCAGAGTACTGGCGCCACAGGTGGAGGATTAGCCTTATGAGCAGCAGCGCCAGTCATCCTTAAATCTTAACAACGAGGAGCAGTAGGCATTCATGTTAGTAATAGTGAAGCACACAGAGCATTGTGAGCTGATCTAATATGAAGAAGAAATGGCCAGCATTGTTAATAAGAATTTTCCTATTCCTAAAATATTTAATTTGACTAACCACATATTTCTATTTCTACTTACAGATGTGACTGAAAATTCAACCTATGAATTTCTCATCTTTGTTTTATAATCTAAAACCACTTTATCCAAAGACTTTGTTATTCTAGGATAGGAAAATCTCATATTGAGGGCAATCTTTCTTTTTGAGCTATCTACTCTTTAACAGACAGCATATCATTACTTTCTTAAGCAAAATTTTCTTAGACAGTTTATTATCTAAACTCCAGTTGTATCATGCCAGTATGGAAAGCACCTGGTTAGGGGGTATTAAAGTCTTTAGTAAGTTTCTGTAATGGAAATTTCGTTTAAAAAGTCTTTGGATGGATTTTTCTGTAAGTGCAATCATGTCAAATAATTGTGTGCAGTGACTGAGATTTGTTCTTTCTTCTCAATAAATTACATTTTAAGGCAACTCCATATTCATTTCATTATTCCATTCATCAATATTTATATCATTCTATGTGTCTTTATGTAATATTTTATTTTCATCATTTTAATGATATTTTCAATCATTTTAGTCATTTTATGTTTGCTTCTGGCTAGTGCTGACAGATCATAGAATGTATTTTTAAACTGTGTCCAAGATCTTTAATTTAAAGTTAATTGTTTATAGTATATTTCTCATGAGGACATAGTTGTAGCTATATAGAAGAAGACCAATGTAGTTATGGGTGCAATGGGGATTTGAATGACTGAGTTATGCAATTTACTTATGCCACTGGAGAGTCAGATACTGAGCATTAACAGCCCATCTCAGGCACCACACGCTAACCTGGGATCCACAGTGAACTCTTCAGTGTCTGCCAGAATCCAAGTTGAAGCTATTTTCATGAAAATGACATAGTTGCTTTCTCTGGTATCTTCAAAGACACCCAAGTGAGATTTACCTATCAGAGTTTGCTCCAAGTTGCCTACAGCAACCTATTTGCCATAACTTTTTAGTGAACTGTTGGATCTAGACTATTTAGAAAGCCACCAGTATCTTTTACACTGTATTTTACACCCACGAACATATACATCTTCAAACATACATTTTTGCCTTAAAAAAAAAGCTGTTTAGCTTTGGGTTTCCTACCTTTTCTTAGTGTTAGGCAATACAAAGGTAAACTGCTTGTTCATAAATCTAAAGGAGGCTTATAAACACACACAGAATATTGGAACTGCAGGGAAGTAAGAGAGGAAGCAGCCGTATGTGTCTCCCAGTTTCTGTCACCATGTCACTTCCCAAGGCATCTAAGGCACTCGAAACATTTTGCTTCCTAAGTCCTATAGGAACAGAGTCATCAATTTAATAGAAACATGATGAACCACAGGATGACAATGCAGTCATATTCCCTGAACACTAAATAATAACACAAGGGGCCAGCGTAGTGAAATAGCAGGTTAAGCTGCCGCCAGCCATATCTGCATCCAGTAGGGGCGCTGTTTCCTGGGCCAGCTGTCCTATTTTTGATCCAGCTTTTTGGTGATCAGCCTGGGAAAGCAGCGGAAGATGGAAATAGTGCTTAGGCCCATGTCATTCACATGAGAGACCCAAAGGAAGCTCCTTACTCTTGGCTTCAGCCTGACTCAGCCACAGCGATTGTGGCTATTTGGGGAGTGAATCATTTGGGAAGATCTCTCTCTCTCCTTCTCTTTCTATATCTCTGCCTTTCAAATAAATAAATGCATCTTTAAAAAATAAGATAAAATGCCACCTGCAATAGGCACTATTACCTTATTCAAATTTGCAATAATCCTTTATTAATTTTCAAGAAGCATTGCAAAAGACAATGAGGAAATAGAATAATACTGTGATATGATTAATCTTCCTTTCTCTTTTAGTCTACAAAATTCACAACTTTCTCAGAAATACAGTATTTTCAATTTAAAAGAGACATGATACCAATTTCCAGTCTTCTCTTGACCTTCTTGCTCCATACATTAAGAGGGCAGCATGTGAATTACATCAGTTCATAAGCTTACCTATCCAAAGTATGTACTCTGAACTAGAAACTTACCATGAATGGTTTAGATTCTCAGTGGGCTTAAGAAGAAGCAAAATCTGGTGACCAGTGTTGTAGATAGTGGGATAAAGATGCCGCTTGTGACGGTGGTATCCCATCCCATCACTCCACTTCCAATGCAACTCCCAGCTAATGGCTAGGGAGAAGTAGCAGAAGATGGCCCAAGTGCTTGGGCCCCTGACATCCATGTAGGAGATCTGGGTGATTGTACTGTTTCCGGGTTTTGTCCTTGCTCAGCACCAGCTATTGCAGCTATCTGGAGAGTGAACCAGTGGTTAGAAGATCTCTCTCTCTTACTCTGTAACTTCAATTTTCAAATAAAACAATCTAAAAAAAAATCAAACTTTGGTGGCAATACCATCTATTACCCAAGATCCCATCCTAAGTAATAGATCATCAAAATATAATCCATTCCAAGGAATTTGTGGTGAGACAGAGAATGAATTCAAGAGTCCATCAGAAGATCAGACTGTACTCTTTCCCTAGGTAAATTCCCAAAAACTCATGGGCAAAGGCAAGTCCCAGGATTAGAAATCTGTTGTTATGACAGGATCATTCTTACATAGTTTTAATTTTCCCTTCATTCAAAGGATATAGAAAATAACTGATTCTAATTTTGAAATTGGAAACCACTCTCTCTTATGGTGTCTTAAGCCAGAGTTCTGTGTCATCAGTCATGGACACTTTATATTTGAGATAAAAAAAAATCACCCTCATTTTATTGTCAATACATTTTTCCTAGAGATATGATGATTAACCTTAGACAAAGATCACTTTTTGCCAAGCCATTTCTTGTGCAATAATTATATCATCATTATCTCTCTGAAAATTTTAATCACCACATTGCTTGAGATAGACTTTTTGTTACTTTATTTAATTTATTTGAAAGGCAGAGTTACAGAGATAGAGATAAGGAGAAACAGAGAGGGAAAAGAGAAAGAGAGAAAGATCTTCCTTCTGCTGATTCACTTCCCAAATGGCCATAACAGTTGGGGCTGGATGGGGCTGAAACCAGGAGACAGGAGCTCAATCTGTCACCCATATGGGTTCAAAGGCCCAAATACACCAGGCCTGAGCCATTCTCCACTGCTTTCCCAGGTGCATTAGCCAGGAGCTTCAGAAGTGGAGCAACCAGGATGCAAACCAATGCCCATATGTGATGCTTATCTTGCAGGCAGTGGCTTAACCTACTACAGCACAAATGCATAGTCTAGAAGTTTACCTGTCAGGTTACTTTCATAAGGTCTCCAATTAGACTCACAGCGGACTTCTCATCAGAAACTCTACAGGCTAGGAGAGAATGGAAAGACATAGCATAAGACTTAGGAGAACAAAACTCAAATGTATCAAGCAAAGTACTCATTTATGAATGAAAGTGAAATGATGACCTTCCATAACAAACAGAAATGGAAAGAATTTGTCACCATATGACCAGCCTTACAAAAGATGCTTAAGAATGTACTACACACAGAAACACATAAAAAGATAGCCATCATTATGAAAGCATGTGAAGGCAGAAAGTCCCCCAATAAAAGTACAAAAGAAATACAAAGTAAACAGGAATATTGTTGAAAAATGGCAGGGCCAAGTCATTGATTTTAAATAGTCACCTAGAATGTAAATGGCTTAAACTCTCCAGTTAAAAGATACAAACTGACAGAATGGATCAAAAAACAAGACCTCTATATTTGCTGCCTGCAAGAAACATATCTCAACAACCAAGATACAACAAACAGACTGAAAGTGAAAGGAGGGAGAAATATATTCCATGCTAATGGAAAGGCAAAAAAGGCAAGTGTTGCTGTACTTAAATCAGACAAAATAGATTTTCTCACAAAAACTTAAAAGAGGTGAAGAAGTCCACTATGTAATAATTAAGGGATAAATTCAACAGGAATATGTGACTATAATAAATGTATATATACCCAATTACAGGGCACTTAGCTATTTAAAAGAAATGTTAATGGATCTAAAATGAGACTAGGCTCCAATACAATAATCACAGGGGACTTCAACACACCAGTTTCATCAACTGACAGATAACTTGACAGAAAATCAATGAAGAAACAACAGAGTTAATCGACTCTACAGAGCAAATGGACCTAATTGATATCTACAGAACATTTTACCACAAAATGCCAAATACACATTCTTCTCATCAATGGATGGAACTTGCTCTAGGACAGACCATATGCTAGACCATAAAGCAAATCTTGGAAATTCAAAAAAATTGAAATAACACCATGCACCTTCTCTGAATACAATGGAATGATACTGAAAATCTACAACTCAAGAAACACATGGAGACTGAACAAAATGCTCCTAAATGAACAGTAGATCATAAAAGTAATCAAAAGAGAAATAAAAAATTTCTGGAAATGATTGAAGATGAAAATACATCACATCAAAAATTATGGCATATAGCAAAAGCAGTGTTATGAGAGAAGTTTAGAGTAATTGGCATCTACATGAAAATATTGGAAAGATACCAAATAAATGAACTATCTCAAGGACCTAGAAAGACAACAAACTGAACTCCAAATTAATAAGAAAAAGGAAATAATTAAAATTAGAGAAGAAATAAACAAAATTGAATCCCAAAAAGAATACAAAAGATCAGGGAAATGAAGAGCTTTTTTTAAAAAAATTAACAAAGTTTATACACCATTTGCAAACTAACCAAAAAAAAAAAACAAAGAAGACCCAAATCAAAAAAAATCAGAGATGTAAAAGATGTAAAAGGAAAAAGGAAATGTAACAACAGATATCACAAAAATAAAAAGAATCATCAGGAATGATTACAAAGACCTATATACTAACAAATCAGGAAACTAGAAGGAATGGATAGATTCCTAGATTCATACAATGTGCAAAAATTTAGTCATGAAGATATAGAAAACCCAAGCAGACCAATAAGCAAGACAAAAATTGAACCAGTAATATCAGTAATAAAGACCCACCCAACAAAGAAAAGCCTAGGAATGGACAGCTTCATTGCTAAATTCTACCCTACTTTTAAAGAAGAACTAGTTCCAATTCTTCTAAAGCTATTCAAAACAACTTAAGGGAAGAAATCCTCCCTAGCTCCTTCTATGAAGCCTGCATCACCTTAATTCCTAAACCAGAAAAATATACAAAAGAGGAAGAGAACTACAGATCAATATCCCTAATGAACATAGATGCAAAAATCCTTAACAAAACATTAGCTAATCAAATCCAACAGCACATTAGAAAGATCATCCACCAGGAACTAATGGAATTTATTCCTGGCATGCAAGGATGGCTCAAGATTTATAAATCAATCAATGTGATACATCACATCACATGAACAAACTAAAGCACAAAAACAATATGGTTATGTCAATAGATGCAGAGAAAGCATTTGATAAAATACAACATCCTT